CCTACTGCTGCCTGCTGCGGGCTGCCTGCTGCTACCTGCTGCTCCTGCCTGCTGCTGGCTGCTGCCTGCTCCTGCCTGCTGCTGGCTGTTGCTGGCTGCTGCTAGCTGCTGCTGGCTGCTGCTGGCTGCCTAACGCCAGCTGCTGCTGGTTGCTGCTGCGGGATGCTGCCTGCCAAACACCTACTGCTGCCTGCTGCTGGCTGCTGCTGGCTGGTGCGGGCTGCTGCTGGCTGCTGCTGGCTGCTACCTGCTGCCTGCTGCCTGCTGCTGCCTGCTGCTGCCTGGTAGTAAAAGTAGCAGTGCAGCACCTCTTCTTCCCTTACGCGCTCCCCCTTGCATCGGCCGGGGTCAGCAAATTATTATTATTCTTTCCTGGCAGCTGTGTCATAAACTCTTTTTCCCTTACGCACTCCCCCTTGCGTCTGCCGGGGTCGGCGGATATATATATATATATATATATATCCTAAGGCTTTTCCCATCAATCAACCCCAAGTGTGTATTGGGGGATCGTGATCAATCCAGATTAATAGGGACATCTTTATATGTGTGTATATATATATATATACATATCCATTTTCAGGATTCCCATTATGGGCTGGATGACCAAAACTATATGCCGTGTAAGTTGACCCAAACGCAAACGTGTTTGTGGATGCAGCCCATGATTTTATTTTTGTTCCATGTCTTTACTCGAGGAAGGAGGCCTGGGTCAATGGAGCCGACAGATTCCTGTGAATGGCTTTGATCTCCTGACACAGCTGACAGAGGGAAATCTGCAAAAAACCGGGGTCCCAGAATTCACAGCCAAAGAGGCGATGAAGAAAATTGAACTGTCGCTTGAGCTTGGGAGACCAACTTCTTTTTTGATGTTTTCTAGTGTCCTTTTTGTTTAATGGTGTCCCATTCTTTGGGACGAGGTCAGGTGATTCTGGTGGGCATGGGAACACTAACCCCTCCAAAATCAAAAATGAGCAGGAGAGCATCCCAAAAATACAAAAAATATCAGATCTCCTCAAGGTATTCTGTGGACACAGCCAGGTTGCGTCAGGGTCTTTGGGCACAAGTAGAGCCCCCTCGCAGAGAACTTGCCTTGGACACCGTTGCTGAGATTGGCATCAAAGGCCAGTTGCTGAAAAGCTGCGGTGCCAGGATTGGCTCATTTTTGGCACCATTGTAGTGCAGCCTCATGTGCAAATTCTACCATCAAAAACGGGATTTGACCATCAACAATAGGCAACAATAGGATTTGTTTAACAATACTGTCGGCTGCGGTTCATTGCATTTCATTGTGGAGATGCCTCTATTAGCATGGCATGAGGCAGGATAGGCAGAGTACGGGTGTGTCCCTCATTGTTTGGAAGATCGTTTCATTTCTGTTCCACCAAGTCCTTGGTGTCAGTTGGCCAATGGCGCACAAGTACATGTGGATGCTTGCTTTTGTCAGTGCTATCACTTCAGTTTTCCCTGCCACAGTAGAAAGCAGTGCCCACCAATTGAATCCAACAGAAGCCTTTTGTGCTGATGTTTTTTCTTCATATGTATTCTCCGGCGGCCTTATACAGAACATATGGATGTTGACATGGATGTTAACATGGATTAATATGGTATTATGCATTTGAGTTTCCATCGTTCTCCAAGTCCCCTTTATTCTGCACTTGTTTCGTTCCCTTCGCACCAAACTCACTTTGTGCGTATGTGCTGCAGGTGACTGGGAGCAGGTTATTGCAGATGAAGCCTGCCGCTCCTACGCAGCAGTGTGCCGTCAAGCCATTGATAGCGACCTTGCTTGGCAGTGGTTTGAATGGTCCCTTGGAAGCCTTGGACCTAAAAAAAATCCCTGAGACTTGCTACAACTGCACCCAAAATCAGGCAAATGTATGTGCAAGTGCTTAGTTCAGTTGCAACCCCAGAAAGGGGCTGAGTCATCAATTATCGATCAATCGGGGTGAAGTTGAAGTCATGATCAGACCATGTGCAATCACGTGTCCGTATAGGGCAAGAACTTGAAAGTTCATGTTTCAGCGGAAAAGGCCTTACGTCAGATGTAGAAACCTCCCACACTTCGCACCTGTCGTTTCATGACGTTCATTGGCAGAAGCTAGACTTGCGTGCATACAGAAGGTGATGGGTCCCACGTATCATCACCAAGGTTGGAGACTCGACTGCCATGGCAGGACCCTACAGACACCAAATATCGGGCAGATGGAAAAGCGATCCCAAGACGGACCATTTTCTCAGTTGCAAAAGGCTGCAATTGTACATATAAATACTCTGGAGTTGCAGTCAAACCCTATGTCGAGCCTGACTGGTTGGCTGAGATTCGGGAAAAATGCGTGGATATTGCAGGCTTGGATGAGCAGCCCAACTCTTGTAACATCAACCTTTACCGAGATGGTAATGATCAAGTGGGTTGGCACACTGATGATGAGCCTCTTTTTGAAGGTGAGTACAATGATATTTGCATTTTGAGCCTGTCATTAGGCTCTTCCAGAACCTTTCAGCTGAAGAAGAAGGGTGTCAAAGGAGTCGCACGGAACGAAGCGACCTCGTCCTTCGTGGTGTCCCACGGTGACCTTTGCACCATGGAAGGCCGCTTCCAACGTCATTACCTCCATGCTGTTCTCCGAGAACCGGAGGTGGAAGAACCCAGGATCAACCTCACGTGGCGCTTCATCACCAAGCACAATCATGACGATGGTTGCACTCTCCATGGTCCTGGAAACTAATGGAAACCTCAGCTCCAACTGCATTCAAATGCATTCCATGGATCAAAAAAGATCCTGTTCAGCAGCATTTTCCGTATGCAGGAACGGCAGAAAAACACTGCACTTGCCAAGCGCATTGTGGCCAAAAAGACAGAGCTTTCAGCTTTCCTTTCAGCTTTCCTTTCAGCTTTCCTTTCAGCTTTCCTGGCTCTTCGAAACTGGAGTGGCATGTTTTTGCATGTTGTTCCTCATTGTTCCTCATTGTTCCTGTCTCCAAGTTGTACAGGTTTGGTCTGTTGAGCACATCAAGGACTCGGAGCTTTTTGCCCAACTACTTTCGTTGAGAATTGCCCTCAGGATTGGAGGTCCAGAGACAAAGCTCCCCCTGATTATGGTGAATTCGTATCAAGCAGTATGAATTGTAGCGAATTAGTACGAATGGGTATGAACTAGCAACTAGCTTGTTCTTTCTTCAAGTGTGGACAGAGCAGGGGGTTGGGCGTGAGTCTGCATTGCCGCAAGTGTACTCGTGTAACCTTTAGGTCAATGTATCAATTTGAGAGTGCCAGACATGTTCTTCCATGTCTTCAAATGCGAAATAGCGTAATAAGATGTAACAAGTACGTAACAATGTGGCGAATGTGGCGAAAGCGGCCTGTGAAAACTCGGTGCAGCTCCCAAGGGAGGCTTTACTCTTTACCTGAGGCCGGAACCCCGGAATGATTTTGCAGCAAGTTCTGCCTTCCAACCTTTGCAGTTTGCTTCGCCCAGAGCTCAGTGAATCTCAGTGATGCAGATTCCACATAGATCCACATAGGGTATCTGACTGGGTCAAGTCACAAGGATTCGTTTTTGACCCAAGTCCTTTGCGACATGCACTGTGTTGATCCATATTTGATGATAGTTGATGTGTCTAAGATTGATGTCATATGATGTCATACTAACAAAACCCTCCCAACTGTTGAAACTGAAAGTGATGATTGGATATGTTTGCACCGTCTTTGACTATGCCGCTCTTCAACATGGGTAGCTGTGGTACTCGTATCATCATATCTAACTGGCTAATTGTATCAAATGATCCATTCACATGGACTGACTGTGAGTCGACTGTGAGGTCTCTCCAACACTGCAGCTCCTACAGCAGTTCAGCTAGCGAGAATCATCCTACAGAATGCGTGACAGTCCCAGTACTCTGTGATGCGACTGGATGCGAAGCTATAAATTTTGTGGTGTTGTTGCTTTTGAAGCAGCGTTGGCATTCTTTGGCATTCGGATGTGAATCGATCTTTCCAGCATTACGAGTTTAGCTCTGAATGATGGTCACAAGCTTGCTGAGAGGGTAGTGGATGCTCGAACTGTACTGTAGATGTGGATATGTTTTACTTGTTTTATTACTTGTTTCTTTGCTTGGAACTTGTGGAGAGCAAGTAATGTGTTGACGATATAGTTGCCAAAATGGCTGTGCCATTTTGGCTCAAGCTGTTCCCCCTGCGATCCAATACTTTCGAATAGAACACGCTCCGATCTTTTTGTTTTGTCCATGGCGGCTTCTAGTCCAGTGGCTAGCGAGACTGGCACCGTGGGCTCCTTCTCGTTGATTGGGACAGATTTGGACGCAGGGGATGACTACATGGTTCTTTCCACTCAGGTGACCGAGGCTGCGCCGGCCGAGGTTACGACCGAGGTTGAAGATGATCCCGCCATCACCAGGGAGACTCTGGCTTCGCAGCTCCAGGAGATGGAGAAAGTCATGGCAAACTTGGGTTTGGAACCCAAGATGGAGACAAGTGTGGAATCGGCAAGTGGACCACCCCCGTCAGGGTTCGTTCATGCAGAGGCAAAAATTCAGACCCAGACATCACGGGATTTAGAGAAGGAGACGTTGACACTCCACATGGATCCGAACACAGAGACCTTCACCATCGAAGGCTGGACACCTTTGATTCCGGCCCTGCCTCACTCGGCTGCCAAGTATTTCAGAGCCATTACGCATGGTGAGCTGCATTCCCTTTTGGACGCTTTCCGCAGTTCTCCATGGACGGCATCCTTGGTGGTCAAGATCGCAGAGGTTTACCACATTTCGAAGCGCGAGGCTGTCCACACACAGATGTTGAAACTCCGGCACACCACTCAGCGTGGGGGATCCATGGTGAATTTGAAAGAGAAGGACCCGGGAACTTCTCCGCAATTAGTCTGCTCTGATTGCAATGCACCGTGGGGTCAGTTATCCAAATGTTTGCTTTGTCAAGGTTCTCAGCCTGTTGACCTGTCAATGACACCTTTGTCAGTGATTGAGGTGGCCGGCCAGTCCTGGCAACTTAGGCTCACTGAGGCAGGACCGACTTGGGTCCCCACTGATACTAAGGTTACTAAGGCCTCAGGCTTTGTGGAAGTGGGAGATCTTGGCCGACCTCCCCCTGCGGCAGCTTCGGGCGCCGATACGGGGCTGGTTAGCTTTTCGGAGCAAGTTCCTGCCTCCCAGCGCATGACACTGCAGCAGCACGTGGTGGCTTTCGGGCAGGACGAGATCTTTCACCCAGATGGAGAACGCCCCCCCACTATGGAGGATCGAGACTCTACTCAAACTGCTGTGATCTTCCACCCCAAGACCATTGAACTGATGCGTTTCAAGGTGGACTTGCTGGCCACGCCAGAAGAAGAGCTTACGGAAGCGGCACAGGAGGCCAAGCGGAGGAAGAAGGAGATTCAACACCAGCAAGAGACTGTGGCGATGGATGATGAGCTGCACACACTGACTGCCATCCAGCAGGGTGCACTGGAAACCCAGGATCCGGTCAGTGCCAAGATGCTCCGCCACGCTGACCTCCAGCAGTTTAGGTCCTACCTCAAAAGAAAACATGAAGAAAGTGGCCTCACCTCCTCCTACGAGGCTTTGGTGGCGGCCCAAACCACACAGGAGAGAGCGGCAGCCGCCAACAAGGCACTGGACACAGAGTTCAGGGATCGACGCAGGGCCCTCAAGCCTATTGAGGTGGCGTCCTTTTCACTGTGGACACCGGCCCTGCAAGAGGCATGGCAGAACAACCTCTTTGCGCCGGCCATGGGACCTCAGGGCCCGGAAGAATTTGACATGGAGGCACTGAAGCAACCCTACCTCCGAATGAAAGAACTCATCAAGGATAACAAGCCTCCGCTTTCCCAAGACCGCCTCATGATGGAGTTCCCCAAGACGCAACTCGACATGTACACCACGGGGACGGAAATGATATCCTCCCAAGAGGCCCAGTTAGCACGACTCCTTCCGCCGGACAGCCTGGAACGCAAGTACGCAATCCTTGACTCCATCTTGCAGTACCACAAAGGTGAAGTCAGAGCCTGGGGCGGAGAGTGTGAACTGCGACAGGGCCCGCTCACGGCACCTGCCTGGGCGAAACCGGCACCCACGACTGAGGTCTTGGCTTTGGAACTCAGGACAAACCCGCTGGGCACCTCCTGCTACGCGCCCACAACCTACACAGAACAGGTGGTCCTGCAACAGATTTCCGAGGGCAAGCGACCTGCATTGGACAAGATCATTGGCTTCTTCTGGGCTCCGGGGACGGCGGTAGCTTCTGGCACCGACGACACCCACCTGGTTCGGAGGGTGCAATCATGGGACCTTCCTTCAATGATCACGATGCTTGGACAGTCCTGGACATTCAAGGAGCTCTACCAGGCTTGGTGTGGCATGCCGCTGATCGTCAAACCGATGCGCAGAGGGCATGGGGAAGGAATCCGCCAGAAGAAGGTGGCAGAGTTGGCGGCACACCGGCAGAGGACTTCAGAGATCAAGTCCTTCCTCAATAGTGTGGGCCTCCGGTTTCCCCAATCACAACATGAAATCAAGCTGCTCTACAAGGAAATTGGCAGCTTTTTGGCTGCCTCGGTTTTCCTAGCCAGAACCCCAGCGGTGGTCTTGGACTTGCCCGAGCAGGACATCCAGGACACAAAGGAGCAGCTCCGTTTTCGAGCGGTTTGTGATGAGCGCATCACCTTGCCCTTGGATGCTTTCAGGCAGCTCCCGGACGTCTTCCAGGCGCTGTCAGCCACTCTGGGGGCCCACAGCATGGTGCAAGTGCAAGTTGCCTGGCGGTGCAACTGTGAGCTCTGGTGGGTTGCCCTGGTTCCCCATGAGAAGGCGGAAAGCTTTTATTGCCGTCTGGGCTACTCCCAGGCAGAGATTGATGGCTTCCTGAAGACTGCGCTGGAACCGGAGGCTCTGCAGGCGACTACGGTAGCTTCTGGCACCGGTAGGTACCCAGAGCTCTCCCTGGAGAACGTGGTGTCCATATGCAGCCCCAAGTACAAGAGGGAGCACTACGGCCACCGGGGAGTCCATGCTTTTTGGGGCCGCACGGATTGCGGGCTCATCCTCAGCAGCATCAGTCCATGGGAACTGAAGACGAAGGAGGCTGGAGTGACTCGTGGAGGATGGGTCTGCAAGGCCTGCCAGGGCTTCTGGCGACAAGGGAAAGGAGCTTCCCGCTTTGTCCAATTGCTTGGAGAACATAGGGGAGTCAAAGTCAATCTCCAACTCATCTTGGATGAGCCACCCCAACAGCTGTATAACAGCTGGGTGAAGTCAAGGCTGGAGTACTACAAGCGAGTGGAGCCGGTCGCAGCCCCGCGCGATGTGGCCTTGCAAGTGGACCCTGACCACACCCAGCGCTTGAAGTTTTCTTGCCAGAATGGCCATGCCAATGTCTCCAACGCCATTTGGTCGGTCCTGCTGAGCAACCCTGACCTCGAGGGCCTGCAGAAGATCAACGCACTGGCAGCGAGCAGAGTCCGGCCGGCATGAGAGTAGAGTTTTTGCTAAGGACTGTTTTACTGACCTGGTGGCCTGGTAGCGTCTTGCACCAACGTCACCACTCGGTTCTGCAGACACCTTCTCTTTTTGTATGAATAGCATTGGTTGCGCACCACGACAAGGGCCAAGACAGGGGCCAGACCGCTGGGATGCCAGCTCACACAGTGAAAAAGGGAAACCTGCATGTGGCTGCCTCAGAATCATTTACAGCATGCTGCTATTTGACCATTGCTGTGTTTTACCTTATTTGACCTTAGCTTGATGTTATTGGTACCCTTTCGGGCTCCGCCCATTACGCTGATGTGACTGATACCCATGTGACTTGCACAATTGC